TCATTTAGCCATATCTATTTTAATTCACTCACATCTAGTATCACATTCTTGCTTAATAGATTCCAACTGTTCTTGAGTTGATTCAATAAATTTTTGATACATTATATCTGTAGCTTGTTTGACTCAGATATTAATCTCTTCCTCAATATCAGATACTTGTATATTGGAAGATTTGGTTCAATATTTGTTTTTTTTCTTTTTATATTTATTAATTTCATTAATTAATAATATTTCAATATCCGAATTAATACTACTTGCTTGTTCTTCTGTTAATGAATTATGTAATCTAGATATAAGATGATTTTATATATATTTTTTTATAGAAAGCAATAATTTCTTAAGAAGTTCTGAATAACTTGAATAAAAATTCATTTTGTACTAATAAAAATATATTTGAAGAATTCAAAATATTCTTAGAATTCTTATTATTCCTAGAATTTTTAGAATTTTTAGTTTGGTATTAACTATATGAGTTAGAGACTCTATGCTCTGCATATTATTTTGATTTTCTTAAGAAAAAAAATTAATTAGAAATATCTTGTCTTTTATTATATCTCAATATTTTATACTATATGTTCTTTAACTAAAGATTCGATTTCTGATTTAAGTTTAACTAGTATAGATCTTTTTTCAGCCAACTCTAGAAACATTCCGAAAAACCATGTGCTTATATGCATAAATTCTTCAATGACCATATGATAAACTTGAGATTTTATCAAATAATACCCATCTTTTATCATTAATAGGAGCCATTGCTGTTTTTTCTGATTCTACTACAGATAATATATTATTTTTAGAACGGATACCATTATTCTTAGCTTTATATGAAATATCATTAAAAAGACATGTCCAATATACATAAGTTATAGGATCATTGATTTTATTTACAGGATGAAATGGTAAAGGGTCATCTATTTTTTGCTTAAATTCGATATCTGCCATTTCTTTTATTCCCATTTTACTCACTCCTTTATGTTTCGATTTTGAAGAATTATTAGCAAGTACATAGTAATAGAGTTTTGCTCGAATATGGAATGATTCCTTGATAATATTATTAGGACATTTATCTTTAAAAAGACCAATGATTTTAAAATCATTAAGATCAAATATATCGGGTCTTTCTGTCATGTTTTTATAAATATCCTCAGTTTTGACTATAAAAATAAATAAATCAGTATCCATATATCCAAGTTTAACTTTATCTCCATATTTTTTCTTTAGATAACTATACCAAAATTGATACATAAGTAACTTGCTAAGACCTAAAACAGCTCCACCAACATTAATAGGTTTATTGAGTATTATAGATTGTTTACCCAAGTTTATACCTACTAAATTTTCTAATAATTTATGAGCATATTGAAATGATGGTTTATTTATATTTTTTAAGAACTTTTCTTTATCTTTTTCATTACAAGTTGATAATATCTTTACATCTAAGTAATTACAAACATTTTTCATAGTTTTACTATAAATAGAATTATTCATGAGTTTAAAGAAGTCCTTTTCAAAACTATTTTTAGCATTTTGTCATAATTTTGTATTGAGCTTAATATAAGAAGCTAGCCAAGTAGATTAATCAAAAGATAATACTTCATAAATTTCATCTACAATCATTTCAAGTTTTATATAATATTAAAGCTCTTGATAATGAATCATATAATTATCTCATATACCCAAGTGAGGAACTAATTTTTCAGTTGCTATATATCATTTTCTATCTATTTTTTCCAATTGTTCTTTATTATATGGACTAAGCCAATCTCGTTTTACAGCAATAGAATCTACTGCAGGTAAGGATCCTAACGATTCTTTTCGATTCTGTATTCGATTCTCAAGTTTATATTAAATTTAATAGGTGGGGTATACCCCACCATTATTTTTAATAGTGTTTTGAACCTTATGCGATTCTGTTCGATTCTATTTGATTCCAATTTTCAGAACCATAACTGCAGAAGTAAGTCTTTAAGATATTTATATGTTTTTATAGGAAAATGGGCCCTAATATTTACATAATATCCTTTTGGAGCGTCTTCTTTTTTCTTGATAATCATATTAAAATATTTCTTTTGTAAAGCTTTATTACCTCTAAAATGACCACGTCTTCCTTCCCATATATAATTTCCAATAGGTAGATATTGACTCATAGCCCAACTATATAAATTATTTGCATCAACATATAAAATCCATGTAGTTGATTTAGAAGGATCATAATCATCACCTATTTTAGGATTATTTGCTTTGAAATATCATTCTCCAGCCATAGCAATTCCACCTCTTTTAGTTTTTTCAATAAAATTATGTATACTAATATCTGTAAAAAGTTCAATCTCGATTCCTGTATATTTTAACATTGCATCCCAAGATAATGCAGAAGCAGATACATAATAACTAGGATCTAGTTTATAATATTTTATTGATGTTTCTCAGAATTTGATCCATATATTTGCTAAAAGAAGTATATCAGTATTAAGATATAAATCATAATATTCACCTAAATTCTTACATCCAAATTCATTCCAAATCATTTGTGCACGATTATAATCTTCTTGTGATATTTTACCACTGATTTTACTATAAAATGATTCAATAGGTGGTAATTCGGTTTCAAGAAATCTAGCTAGTGAATTAATATATTTATAAGGATAAATCCCTTTAACACATAACATTGCAATTTGTTTTTCAGTATATTGTTTTAAATAATGCTGTTTTGGTTATTTTATAGTTTTTAAGTGATTCTATACATTAATCTTTATCTATTCTATATAAATGCTTACATTTTATATCTTATATTTTACACCACCCAAATTTTCTGCAAGATTTGATAAGCCTGTATTCATAAATTGCATTGAATTAATATATTTGAATTGACCAACTTGAATAGATTTATATTTTTCAAAAGTTTCTACAATTACTCTTATTTGATGTGCTTTAGCTAATTTAGATAATAATTGGGCTACAAGGTGAAAATCATATCCTCTAAAGTTATGAAATACTATTGGAATTGGTGTTTTTCCAGCTTCTATTTGTAAATCTAAATTACATTTACTGTAACATGCACCACGATATTTACCTGAAATATGGCAATGATCCCAAACTTTATTGTTTTCTAAAGATTTATCACAAATCCAACAATTTGTAGCATTATCAAATTTTTTGCGATATTCATCAGTTACAGTTTTATCTACCTTAATTACTAAAATATCATTAATTCATTTATATTCCATATCCATTTGATTTATAAATTCTTCTGTAGCATTAGGTCCATGATATAGAAAAGGCTCCCAAATATCTCCAGTATCAATCCAATAAATTGTATAACTAAAACTATTGGCAGGTTGTTCTGCTATCTTTTGCATATTTCCACCATAACTTTCATCTTTCCTTATATTAAATCCTTCAAAATCAGCAAATATAACACATGGAGCATTTATCATTTTTTTAAAATTTGTAAATTTCTCGATATTTTTTTTGCCATCATTTTTTGGCATTGTAATTACTTGAGAAGCTTCTCCTAATCCATAATAATGATTTCTATGATAATCTCTTCCACCTTTTGTATTGAAACTTATAAAACATTTATCACAAAAATGTCTTTTTGTCATATGTGTTGTATCATTAAAAGCCAATTTATCTTTATCTTTAATTCATAAGAAATGCATTTTGGTTCCATATTTATCTTCTTTATCTATGTCTTGGCATAAGCTTTGCTCTATATTTTTTATTAGATTGTAATTGAAATAAGCTATTTCTTTGGTTTCAGATAATGCCAAAGATGGATAATTTCACGTTCTTTATAACATTCATTTGGTCTGGGATGCTTACATCCTGCAATTGGACATGAATTTGAAATGTAGAAATTCTTACTATGGATTATTAGTTTTGGTCGACCTTCTTTTTCTTTCCATCTCCATATATTAATAGATAATATAAAATTTTGTTTTTCGATTTTTTTGAATACTCTGGCACATATAGGTGTTGACATTAAAATTCTGTCCAAATTAATAATATCCAAGTATTTTTTATATTCCTTTGCAGTAAATATACAATGAAGCTTATTATTATATCCATCTTTATTAGCAAAATAACAAGCTAATGCACCTTGAAGACAATTATCAAATAGCTTGCCTGTAATTGGATCAATTATATTTGAATTATCAGGATTAATTATAGCTTTCTTTGATGCCAAATTTGATGATGTTGGTATATATGATCTTCCAACTGCTTTTCAAAAAGTATAAGCTTCAATAGTTAACATTTTGATTCTTACTAATTCCAACCAGATCCTAAATTCATAAATGTATCGATTTGTTCATCTATTTCAAGTATTAAAAGATCTATATGCTCATCAATATTATTTTCAGAAAGAATGGCATGCATTTTACTTTTATATTGAATATAAGAATATTTATCTTCTGATTTTATTGTACATTTATATATGCAATTGGCAACTAAAGCTGTTTTTCTTTGATCTTTTCTACGTAACTCTGCTTTAAGAACTTTTGATATTTGATCTCTTACTATAGCTATTAATTGTAGCATATATAGAGCTTTTAAATATTTATAGGAATTATCAACATATACATTAAATCCATATTTTGGATTATTTGGTAAAGAAACAATGGCTTGCCATAAACTCATTAATTCTAAGTTTTGATATGGTCTTAATGGATTTATGTTTTTCTCACATTCTTCGAATAATAATAATTTGTCTGGCAATGAATAATTGGTTCTTTTGGGTGGATTAAATAACGTTCCTTCTTTATATACTTTTTTTTTTGCTTTATTGAATAAAAGATCTCTATTCAATTCAGGGCAGATATTATCAGAAGTTATGTTATATTATTCTTCCATTTTATTAAATCATTCTTTATCATTTCTAGGAAGATCATTATTTGTAGGTATATTTTGAATAGGTGGTAGAAGTGGGTTATCCAATAAAATTAAATCACCTACAGGAACTTGAATAAAAGTAGGTTCTGAAATAAGAGATAGAGTAGGTTCAGAAATAGCTTGTGGAGTAGCTTATGGAATAGGTTTGCATGGAAATTTATGATTTAAATAAGTATCTCGATCACGAGACTTTTTAAAATCATCTTTTCCACATCTAGGGCATGGAAGTAGCATTTTGGATATACTGTAAGTAATAGAAGACCAGTGATTGTATTAATATAGCAGATCTTTTGTTTAAATTGAAAATTTCATATTTATATAAAATATATAATGCTAGGAGAATATACTTGTGACTATTTGCATAACTCTGGCAAAGTTTGTAGACATGGATGTCATTATCCTCAAGGATGTTTTGATCATTGGAAGTCAAAAAAAACATTATCCTTGTATTGAATATGAAAAACCAACTAATGTAGAACCCGGATTATGTAGAGCTTATGCTAATGTATATTATGTTATAAAATGTTTATATGGTTTGAAATATGCTCAAGCCTATATAGCTGCTTTATATAAATAATATACTATATGAAAAAAAGTGTAGTGGGAAATTGGTATGTGACATAAAAAATTTTTTTAATATTAATAAATAAAGAATTAAAAAGAATTTAAAAGCAAACTAGATATATGAAAATTTACATCAAAGGAAAATATATAAAAATGATATATAAATATAGTTAAAAAGGCTTAAAAAGAATTAAAAAAGGTAAATAGTATATTGATGTAAAAAAAGTGTTCCAGAAGTCCCATTTTTTTCTCTACTTTATCTTGTATAATAACAAATTCAATAATGTTATTAAATATAATAAAAAGTACAAAGTGACAAGATATTTATTTTATTAAGAAATATTATAGTATTTATCTTTTGGACTGGGTTTTTTTTTTAAGATTAAAAGAAGTTATATTCTAATTTAGTAATAAGCTTTCTTTGTTAATAATTATTTTGAAAAGATATCAATCAATAATTTTTTAAGATATAAAACTTGTTTTAAATAATAATTCCTTAAAAACATAAGTCTTGTTATAAGTATTTTAAATATTTTAAATTAGCAATAGAAATAGTAGAAATTAAATAGTTTGTTTAGTTGCAAATGATAGTAAAAAATTTATTTTAATAAATTGAAATTAATATTAAAGAATTTTTATTTATTAGAATAAATTTTTCAACTATTTTTTTTTTTTACTTTTCTTTTTTTATTTCTTAGAACAATAGATTTATATTGAAATAACAATTTGAATATAGATTGATTTTAATTTTTTTAGAGCAAAGATTTTAATATTTAGTCTTAAAAAGATATAACTTTTATTATTTTCTATAATTATATCCAAAAAGTTAAAATTTGAAAAGTTTATAATAATTAATATTATATAGTAATAGTCTAATAAACCTATTTCTTTATAATAAGATAGTTAGTAAATAACTAAATTATATGAACAATATAGTGGTTTTAATATTAAAGATTCAAAGATTATATATAAATTTAAACTTATTGATAGGTGTTTTATAAAGTAAAACTAGTTTAGTTTAGTTAAAAATTAGATTAATAAAAATTAAAACTTGTAGTTTGATTAAAAACAAAAAAACAAAAAAAAATAAAGTTAAAAATAAATAATTACAAATTTTAAATATAAATTTAAATATAAATTTTATTTGAAAATTTTTCAAAAAAATTAATTATAAAAATAAAAAAAAAACTTCAATTTATAAAAAATTCATTAAAAATTTCTTATTATGTTTAAACGACACTATTAAAATTATTTTATTTTTTATTTTGTAAAATTAATTTTAAAAAATTAATTTTAATATAAAATTTTAGTTAAATTATTAAATTAAAGCAAAAAATTTTTAATAATAAAATTATAAAAAATTAATTTATTATAAAATATATTCTTATTTAATAAATTTATTTATTGAAATAATTTTAATAATTTTTTATTAATAGTTTTTTTTATTGAATTTAAATTAATTAATTTTTTTAAGTTAAAATTTAAAAATATTTTAATAATATATTTAAAAAAGTTTATTAATAAACCTATTTTTTATATTTTCAAATATATATATGTATATATATTTTTACAATATTTGTATTTAATTATTAAATTATAAGTAAAATTAAAAATATAATTTATTCTGTTTTTTTTTTAATTAGACTGTATATATATACTGTATATTATATTTATTTATTTGAAAAAGGTTATAATATATTTAAGAATATTCTTTTGTTCTTTTAATAAAATAACTAATGATTTTATAAAAGTCTTAATAAAAAGATTTTTTATATATTAATTACTTTTTACTTATTTATTTTTTTTCTTTAAAAATACATTTTTATAATTTTACATTTATTATTTGTTTTCATATTTGTAAATATCAATTTATGTAATCAATAATAAATCTAAAAGATGTGATAATCCTAGCACGTGATAGTGTTTTACAAGTTTTCTCAAAAAAAAAATCTTCATGCAATGTATTAGGACTTTGGCCTCCGAGTGGTGTTTCATACCCGAAAACACTTATGTTTACTTATGTTTCACCAATAGCTTCAAATGGCTAGGTATCGACTTGTGATAAGTGATACGATCATTCATTAATACCGCAGTCAAATAGCCTTAGAGTGAATTTTCCTTTGGGTTTCTCTAGTGCTCGGCCGATCGATTGTGACGCAACGAGTCTACCGATGAGCGCGCTACAGTACTCTTCTACACAGTCTTCACCCACCACTCCCACTATAACTCAAACGCAGCTTTATCCTCAACATATAATGTCTTTACAGCCACCGTCTCCACAACCTGCAAAGATGAGTACTAATACTTTTGTTCATAAGCTATACAAGTACGTTTTGGGATATTAATTTAAAATGATTTGCGGCGATTGTGAAAGAAGGCATTTATATTTCCCTTTAAACTTCAAATTAATTACCCTCTTATCCTTTTACATTAAAGTATGGTTGTCGACAAACAATACCAACACCTTATTGCTTGGAATTATACTGGGTCATCTTTCATAGTGTGTAATATTATGGAATTTTCTCGTGATGTGCTGCCGAAACATTTTAAGCATAACAATTTTTCAAGCTTCGTACGCCAATTGAACATGTAAGTTTGAATCTCCTGACGTCAGTGGAATGAATTAATATTCACATATCGATTTTCTTTTTAGGTATGGTTTTCATAAAGTTAATAAGTCACCTCGTGGCCATCGCACATTGGCTGAAAATCAAATATGGGAATTCTCTCATGCAAAATTTTTACGTGGGCGTCCTGATTTACTAGATGATATTAAGCGTAAGGCTATGGAATCAGAGACTCTAAGACGAGAGACGGGTGATTTACATGCTCTCATTGCAATGATGCAAGTTGCACAGAATGAGCTGACACAGCAAATTAGACAGTTACAAGAGAATTTTGCGGAGGTAATGAGAGACTTAACTGAGACGAAGAAAAAGCAGACGATCCAACAAGTTTGGATGAAAAATATGGTGGAATATATTTCACAGCAGCATGGAACCGCCTCGTCGAGTAGGTTTTGCAGTTATAATGATGATATGTGGTATAATTTGTAAATAATTTTTGATTAAATCTTAAGTTAATTCCATGATCAATTATTCGTAGTTCCGCTTGAACTAAATTTGGAGAGTTTTGAAAGCAAACCAGAACCCGAACGCCCGCCGATATATATTACCTCAGCGGAACATCAAAATATGAGTTATATGATCTCTCACAGTAATATTCCATCGCGTCCGTCGACGCCATTGACAGTAGACACGAGTATAGTCAGTTCACCTAGTCAAACTGGTTCACATGGTCAAAGTCCAAATCGTGTTATGAACATTCAACTCCCCTCTGGGAGTCCTTTTTTGGATAATGCCATATTATCAAATACTCCTCTGTCTCCTAATTCCTTTAATACCTTCACTACGGCCATAAACACTCCTTTACCACCCAGTCCATCGCCAGGTTCACCGATGGGTCATCTTTCCGATGATGAAATGGATAGTTCTTACTACTGTGCAAGCCCTGGTGATACTTATATTAACTAGCTGTGTGTATAGCCTGAGATGAATTGGAGAGTAACGAAATTTTTGAACCTGATTGAGTAGGTTGCTTTAGAGAAAAGAATTCATGGACTTATGAATTTTATACTCTAATTGTAGTATATATATGTCTAGTCATTATTCGTTCTTTCCTAATTTTCATCGTTTATTTTATATGAATTTTATATATTCTCACTATGAAACATCCACTTTCTTTCATGTATCATATATATTTTTTTATTATATTAACTGTCGTGATAACTTATTATTCTCGGTTTATATATTTTTTGAGTAAATTTGTACTAAAAAAATTTTCACTTTTCCACTTTCTTCGTCTTTCTCTAGCAGGGCGTGTCAAATAACTCACTAGTGGCAAGCAATACTGTAAAGCATCATCATATCTGATTTACGTGTCACATATAAAGAATTTTTTTTGTTGTTGATTACCCGGCGAGCACCTCAGAATATATAATAAACAAACCGAAGATCATTATAGATCGACATTACATTTAGTTTTTAGATCATAAATTGGACAACAATGGAAAATATTTAACAGAAAAAAATTAATATCTGAATTATTAGATAATTCAAATATATGCTGTATATACATTAAATAATAAATTTTAAAATAATAAAATAAAATTTTTTGAAAATAATATATACATATATATATATATACTGTAATATTGAATCGGGTATATTAAAATAAATAATAAAATTATTATTTAAAACAGTTTAATTAAATATTTATTAAAATAAAAATTTTAAGTATACAATAAATAATTATTTATTGTTTAATTTTATATTATCTTTTAATCTTAAATTCAATTAAAGTTATATTTAAAAACTTTTTTAATATATTATTATATATATATATATACAGTGCCCCCCAATAAATGAAGGACCACTTAAGAATTATTAAAATTAATCGGAAATA